CCGTCCACACCTCCACTCCACATGATAAATGTGATTTTTTTTTTTGAGCAAAATGATAAATGTGATTTTGTTTTTCATTTTAATAACTAATTTTAATTTCATTTAATGGGCATATGAAAATTCTTTAAAATCATCCAATTTTCTTATAAATAATCATTTTAATATAGTAAATTAATAATTACATCAAGAAATAGTAAAATAATAATACTTATCCATTTTTACAGAAATAATGTTTATCCATTTTTTTAACCGATAAGTGTGTGAAGCATTATTCCACAGGTTCCCTAGAAGCTGGACCTATTTATTTATCTACTACCTTGACTCTTAATACAAAAACTAAATAACTAATTTGTAAATATTAAGAAAATTATTTAAGTTAATTATCTGTATTAAATGTGTATTGTCTTTTTTAAAATACTCTTGTTAATTATGTGTATTCGAATAAAAACATTTTTATTATATGTAATCACTTGTTCTCATGGGGACTACTTTGAAAAAAAAATGAATAACTATGAAAGATAAAATAGATTGTAATCTTATATTTAATATTAAATTGAATCTCTAACAAATTCTTATATTTAGGTAGTAATCTGGCATAATATTCATGCATAGACAAAATTACACACGGCACATTGAAGACGCAAATATATAAAAGAAAACGTTTAATGAGTGAAAGTCAATTTTCACTCACAAACCTTCAAGTTGTCCAGACTCAGCCGTACTTGACATGAGCCATTCCAGAGATTCTAAGGAAAGCAAACCATTTTCTCAGAGTTTCTTAAATTCTTTAGCAATTTGATCAGGCAGCACACAAACCTCAGGTCCTTTATTTTAAACGTTATACATGCCGTGACTCCTATCTTCAATGATGAGATGTGTTTTTGAAAAGTGACATGTAAATTTATTAAATTAATAAATTTATATAAGGGGTTGTGTTTTCATATAAATTAATTTATTTATATAAGAGACTGTGTCGTCATAAAAATTAATATATTTTTTGTATGAAGCGTTATATAGGAAGTTATGACACCAGAAGAGACTGATGTTGATTTCTAAAGGCATATATAAAAAGGTGTAGTAACTACTACTTGGTAAAAGGTTGTGTTGTTTTCTAAGACAACCCTACATATTAAAAAATGCAACTCTTCATGAAAAGAATATTAATTATCACTTTGTAGACGCCATTGTTATCTTGAGTTGAGTTTTAGAGGTGCAATCCATACTCAATAGTCATCATTGTCTTTTGAAGGAAACTCATAGGTTAACCTAACTTGCACGTTATAAGATGGGAATAGGTGGAGACGAATTAAACTTAAAAGAAAGTGTTGTCATGTCTTGAAGATATTATGTACTACTTTCTTCTTCATCTTTTCTTTTTGTACTCTTCAGAGAACCATTCCTGCCAACAAGATAATACTTGGATGAAAGGAGAAGTGAGAGAAAAATAGAGGGAGAAATATTAGGAGGGAAAGTTTTGAAAAATAGCCAAAAAAAGAAGTTAGGGAGTTTCCCCCCTTAATATTCTTTCTTTCCTAATTTTCTCTGCGTCCAAATAAAGAGTTAGTAGAGTGGCATTTACCGACCCATAAGCACATACAAATCACTAAACTATCACCAAACAAGTTGACATATCTATCAAATCTAGTAAAAGAAATAATATATATTATCTATCACCTTGCTATCAACACCAACCATTTAGACTTGTTTACATTTGTGATTAGAGCCTTTAAAAACTGCTTTTCAATAGTAATTTATGACATACGAGGTAAGTATGAGAAGAGAATTTTATTTCGATTTACATGAAAGTGCTTATATTAAGTAGCTCCAAACAAATGTTGTAGATTGGCACGTTGTCCTTAACTCCGTAACCTGTATCACACTTTGGAGCATGGGTTATTTGGGTCACAAGGCTAAAAATAATCATGAAGTCATGTATGGTTTGGCATAAGTTACTTGTCGCAACAAAGGTTAGCCTGAGATTACAAAAGGAATGTCAATGCCATCAGGCTGCAACGCCTTTTGCTGCAACAAAGTTTTCAGACAATGCTGTGGAACTGTCTTCAACATTTTTTTTTTAAAAAAAAAGGGAAGAAAAAGAAAGAAACCTTTCCTGCCAGATTGGGCTTTAAAAGAATTGGGCTTGATCTTAAAAGCCCTAAGTAAGTCAAGTACCAAATTCAGGCTCATGGCTTGTAATTAAGGCCTGGCTTGTTCAACTAATAAATCTTTGCTTGATTTGGCATATTTCCACGATGATATATGAAATGACTTGACTTGCATTTTTTTTTAAATAAACCACAAGAAAAAAAAAACGAATGTCACTTTATTATCTAAATATTTTTTTTACTTTTTGCTACAAACTGAAAATGTAAATATACCTAAGGCAAAACAATGTGTTATAGGAGCTTCACAAAATTTGCCCTTATTCGGGGGATTTATTCTATAACCATTGGAAATATGATTGTTTTAAATATGGTTGATTGGAATTGAATTAAATTTAAATCTTGAAATTCACGAATTTCGTTGTTCTACTTTGCTGATTTTTGGGTTAGATATTAAGCTAGCCATATTTAGTTCATGGATGCACCATATTCTTTGTTTTTTTTTCCCTTAAATTATTCTTCTACTTTTGAATTTTGTTCATGATTTCAGCCAAAAAATAATATTATATGAAGTTATCAAAATATGAATAACTTAAATTTTTTTACCAGCACAAAATGAAATAATATTCATTTTCAGAAAGTTAAAATTATATATATTTATGTTTTAAAATTTGGAATGTGAAAGGCTGTAAAATAAAAACATGGGACCAAAAGAAATATAAAACATCAAGTGGGTGAGGAAAAACAATACCGTTTAATGAACCGAAAGTATAATTGAGAAATGGGAGGAAATTCTTTATAAAAAGAGAGAATGAAATTCAAAATTCAAATAGAAATAAAATTCATTAAAAAAAATAAAATATATGCATTAGGTAAGAAGCTGATGTAATTTGATCTGCATTATTTTATTGTACAAAATTTATATGTAAAACAAAGTTTTATTTTAATCCATTAATTTAATAAAGTGTCTTTTCATCCTTTAATTCTAAAAAAAATCTCAATTAAATCTAGTTGAAATAGCCAAATTCAAATTTAGGTCAACACGTTTAATAAATTTCTAATTAGGCTAAGAAGCCTTATTAGAAATTTCTGAATGTTGTCACAAGACCAAAATACTTATATATAATTAAACAAAATAAAAAAAATAAGGCTGATGATTTTGATTTTGATTAAATAAATCAAATTGTATTACATAAGATATGGTGTAATAAATTTTTTTTTCCCCATGAATATCGATTATCTGTGCAAAATTTTGTCACTTCAAAAATATTTTTCTAAAATCAAAATGATAAGTTTTCAAATTCTTTTAAATCCAAATCAAATAAAATCATCAAATACAAAATGTTTTTGAACTGAATCAGTCAAATCATCAAATAATGCATCTAGAACTTAAAATAAATATATGTTAATACTCCCTCTGTTCCTTATTATAAGAGATGAATAACCGAATTGCGTTGATAAAAAAAAATTAGTTAAAAACAATCAATGTGTAAAAAGTATAATTTTTTCCCCAAAAATACCCTCATTAATAAGGAGAGAGAACATGAGAGAGAACAATGGTAAATTATTAAAAGAAAGAGAAGTAGGAAGGAGAGAGAGTGTGAGTTAGAGACAATAAATATGGGTAAAATAGGAAATCAACACAAAAAAGTAGAGACAATTTTTAAGTGCTTCTTATATATAGGAACATGCCATAAGCATCAAATGTCTCTTATAATAAGAAACGGAGAGAGTAATTTTTTAATCCACATCAAATAAAATTCCCAGAACCTTGGTTGTACACCGTGACGAAACTCAGTTTAAGGCACATATGGTAATTTGATGACGACACTTGGCGATTACTTGTGGCGGAGTGCATAAACATTAGAACCTGTGATGTATAGCCAACACAACACAGGCAAGAAGAACTAATTTTTCATCACATATCCAAGCAAAATTCAAATTTTCATTAAAAAAAAGTGTCCAAATCAAACAAATTTTTTTAAAGAGGGGATATCTGTTCTTAACAAAAAAACCTGTCATATATAGGAATCTTGCATGTCAATAATGTTGAGGAAATGAATTTACATTCCTGTCGTAGCTTATAAACTGTCATTCTCTGATTTTATTAATATTATTTTGCTTTTTATAAAAAGAAGAAATAAATCTGCAAGCGTATAAAAAACAAAGAAAGAAAAAAAAATGTGATGTGAATAACTTTATAGTAGTATATGTGTTAACAGTGCAGTCTTTAAAAATAATTTATTTTATATTATGTTAAGTAATTTATAGATAAATCATAATATTTGTTTGTTTTATAAAAAATAACAGAATGAGACATTAAAAAACACATACAAACTAAAAAATAAATAAAAAAAATATCATTTAAATTCGGTTGAAGTAATCAAAGTCGAAATTCCTAATCATGCACAAATTTAGATTTTCCTATTTCAACTTGATTTAATTGGGATCTCCCCCCTAATTCTAATGTTATTAATAAAAATATTAATATCAAAATTTTAAAGAACAACAAAATATTCTCGAATATTAATATATTGATCTTAATTTTTAAAAAGAATAATTATTGGCGTAAAGTTCATTGAATTAAGACTAATAATGTTAGGATTAGATATTATCAAATATTTTATAAAATTAAGAAATCAAATTAAAATATTGCAAAAAGTTAGAGGTCAGAGATGCACTTTTGCCTCTTTATATATATATATATATATATTTTAAAAATTTTAAAACTAGTAATTTTCATTTGTAGTATTATCTTAATCTTAATTAATTGTTTTAAAAAAAGGAAAAAAATAATTTGGGGCTTTTCCTTAATTACCCAGGAAAAGCTGGCAATTTTTGTCTGCAAAGCGTTTTCCGCTCACTCTTTCCGGGCCAAATCATACTCACCCGGGCGTTTTCAGCTTGTGGCTCGATTGAAGAGCTGGCTCCGAAGCTAGCAGAACTCAGTGAGTCACACTTGAGCGGTTTCATACGGAAGGAAAAAGGCAATCTTACTTCTACCCCAGCTTGTGCGATTCCTTGGTAGGTCCCTATTTTCATTGATTTTACGGCCCCTTTTTCAGCTCACGGTGGTCTCGCTCTGCCGTAATCCTTCGTTTTCCTCCATCTTCCACCACTCACGGCGGTGGCTACTCCTCCATTCTTGTATTTGACTGTCTCTTCACTTTTTGGTTTCATTTTATCCTTTTTCAGCGACTCGCACCGCTGTACCGACACTGCCTTTCTGTAGCAGTCTATTTTTTGCGTGGTTTGGTCCTAGGTTTTTGGCTTCTCGTGGCAGTCTCTTTCGTCTGTGTAGGTAAAAGCTCTGGTCGTTGTAAATGTCTTTGGATGTGGAGAGTGATTATTTTAGGCCATTTGTTAGGGTCCCTTTGCATGGTAGCTTCTTGCATTTGACAATGCTCGTGGCTTTTGGATTAATGTCTTACCGTGGTACATTGTTGTCTTTCTTGTTTATCTATCTAATTCGAGTTGAGAAAAGAAAGCCGTAGCCTGTAGAGAATCGGGTTTGAAGTGCAACTAGTACTTTCGATCAAGGGATAGATACAAATTTGCTATGATGATATATATTCTCATTTTGATAGCATTCTGAAAAGAGACTATGGAATGGCTGGCAGTTATTTTGTTCCTTGGAATGATGATAATATATTTAGAAATAATGCTACACTGGTTGTATCCTCTCAATGATACACATACATAGAGAGGTCGTGAACTTTTCATAAATCCCATGCTGATTTTTTCTATTCTAGTACAACCGGACTGGAACCGTCTGCAATATATATGATGCCTGTCATTTCTTCTCCCAAGCATCTTGTGTCTATCATCTTGGGGTTCAACTACGTTCCTCAACGGTAATTAACCTGGAGATATCGTCCAGGGAAGAGGGAGTTGTTTGGTCTGCAATGAAAACTTTAACATTGAACTGAAGTTCTCAATTGATTCCTTTTTGCACAGAAAAAATTATAATCTTCTATGTTCTTGGGTTTCTGATTTACTTTTCTTCTTTACTCCTCAGACTGCTGGTATTTGGTGAGAAATCATTATAAGAGATATTGATCACATAATCTAGCAACCATGGCTAATTTAGCTTTGACCGCGATACTGGAAAAGGTATTATTATTTTTATGTGTATCTGTACTGTCCGTATTTCTTCACATACTCATTAACAAGGATGTTTATGTATGCATATGTGTGGATTAAATATTTCTTAATTTCCTGCAGATGACTGGCAAGGATAAAGATTATAGATACATGGCCACATCTGATTTGCTTAATGAGTTAAACAAAGATACATTCAAGGCTGATGCTGAGCTGGAGATAAAATTGACAAATATCATCATACAACAGCTTGATGATGCCGCTGGTGATGTTTCTGGATTGGCTGTGAAATGGTACAGCTTCCTTCTGGAGTCTTTCTTTTAGCATGCGTTGTTTATAGCATAAATTTGGATCTATTAGTTAGGCAGTATGCCCTAATAATTGAATCTCTTGCTTCTTGTTATGCCTGTCATTATGCTTTTTATGCCTGCTTAAGCTTGATTGGTTTTTGTGGTTGAATGTCATGTAATATGAATCAGTTTAAGAGCTAATTAAATTCCTGCAATAATTTGCTTCTTGATGTTCCTTCTGATTTATATTAGATTCAGGCTGCTGTGAGAAATTATTTCAGCAGAATATGAATTTGCAATGTTTTTAACTTCTTACCTTTTCAAATTGCAGTCTTGCTCCATTGGTGAGGAAGGTGAGTGAGCCAAGGGTTGTGGAAATGACTAGTAAATTATGTGACAAGTTGCTAAATGGGAAGGATCAGCATCGTGACATTGCCAGCATAGCTTTAAAGACAGTTGTTGCTGAAGTTTCTACGAAGTCTCTTGCACAATCTATTCTTGTTTCTCTCTCACCGCAATTGATTAATGGAATTACTGGTCCAGTAAGTTCTTAATTTTGCTTAACCATACTCTTGGAGACTTAACACCAACATTGAGCCCATATCTGGATGATGCAATGGACATTGATTTTCTAATCTTTCTATTCTATTTCACTCCATGAATTCCTTGTTACTAATGTCACCTAGTCTATTTCTCATACGTTGATATGCATTTGCAAGAATTTAAATAAAATCTATAGTTTCTTTTGTTTTTTTGTCTTTTCCCTCTCTGAAAGAGTTTTACAGTGTTATGTTCATCTATGAATCTATGCGTATATAGTGTAATATCCTTGTTCATTTCCATGTCCTTGGTGTGCATGGTAAATGAGTATATTCTTCCTCTTGTGGTCAAGTTCTCCTGTATTATTCTTGGTACTATTTTCTCCACATAACTGCATTTCCTTTGCTGACATGATAACCAGGGTGTTCTTTTCCATTGATCAAATGCATCAGCAAAATTTTGGTTGTTTTGATTTCTATACTTCGGTTCAGTGAGTTTGTTTGATTTATTTTTGAGGTAACATATCCTATGTGGTAACATGTTTCATTTTTCTGCATCGTGTACTTGTCTAACAAGGGGTTGAATGGAATATATGCTTTTTTTGCCTTTTATTTGTGGGTGTTGTTGGGGTGCTGGAGGGTTGGTTTGGATGGTCAGCCTGTGCTCATTCAGTGGTCTTCCAGAGCTCTCCCTAACATTGAAATCATCTGCATGGTTTCTCTAACTATTATTAATGAAGCTACGGGAAAAGTAGAGTCACTCGTATAACTTTTATGGTATATATTAATGACATTTATATTGATAGTCAACTTTGGACCACTTCTATGCTCACTGAATTTTCTTGTAGAATTTCTCTCATTTGAAATTGTATGATTCCTTTATATGTACAGGGAATGAGCTCGGAGATAAAATGTGAAAGTCTAGATATTTTATGTGAAATACTTCATAAATTTGGGAATCTGATGACATCTGACCATGAGCTCTTGCTCAGTGCCCTTTTGTCTCAGTTGAGTTCCAATCAAGCTAGCATACGTAAGAAGACTGTGGCATGCATTGGTAAGACTTAGTGGTGATTCTAGATTTTTATGAAATATTTTTTTTTTAAAGAATATAATTGATAGCTTGATATTGCTTGGATTTGTTATTATTGGGAATATTTTTTGAGTGTTGTCAAATTTATGTTTCTCTGCCTTAGTTTAATGTGCTAATTTAAAAAATTATTGAGATTTGAGAGTAACCTTTGCCATCTTTTCTATTTTCCCTAATGGACAAGTAATTTATGTTGTAGGGGCAACTTGTATTGGGGATAATTTTGACCATAGGATTTGATTGGATAAGCAACTGCTGTTAGATGGACTGAATATTGAAGATCACTTGTATAATATCTTTATTGAGAACTCCAATTAAACTGCAAGAATTAATGCATGTTCATGATCTATGGAATATTTTGCATATTGATTGGGCCTTTTACATCTAACTACTAACTTGACACGAACATACTTTGGAGAAAACTGTTATCTACTCAAAGTGATTCATAATTTTTTTCTTCAAAATTTTGACCATGAAGTGAAAGTGCATTCCTCTTGACAAACACTTCTCCACTTTTCAGCATCTCTTTCTTCAAGCTTGTCAGATGATTTGTTGGCAAGGGCAACAGTTCAAGTTGTTAGTAACTTGAAAAATAAGGCTACCAAGTCAGAGTTGACCCGCACAAACATTCAGATGATTGGTGCTTTGAGGTATGAATCTCTTACACATTATCCTCCTTTTCTTCATCTTCCTTTATTAATCAAGTTACATTTGAGTATTATACCAGTCGTGCTGTTGGTTATCGATTTGGACCTCATCTTGGAGACACAGTTCCAGTGTTGATCGATTACTGTACTAGTGCCTCAGAAAATGATGAAGAGCTTCGTGAGTACAGCTTGCAGGTGATATATATGTCCGTTGCACTCATATTATGGTGTGATTTAGATGATTGCCTCAGAACTGCGTGTTAATTTATATAATATTCTCTGTCATGCATCTCCATAATGTTAATATTTAACTGCAGGCACTTGAAAGCTTTCTCCTAAGGTGTCCAAGAGATATTTCTTTTTACTGTGATGAAATTCTTCATCTTACCCTGAAATATCTGAGTTATGATCCCAACTTCACTGACAATATGGATGAGGATACTGATGATGAACAGCACGAGGAAGAGGAGGAGGAGTATGTGCATTGTTCACTTGGTTGATAGTAAGGCAGTAATATATATCTGAACTCTTGTTAGCTAGGCCTGAAATACTATATCCTATTGCAGTGAGAGTGCAACTGAATATACAGATGATGAAGATGCCAGCTGGAAAGTTCGGAGGGCTGCGGCTAAATGCTTAGCAGCTTTAATTGTATCCCGTCCTGAGATGCTTTCAAAGCTATATGAGGAGGTATCTTTGCCATCAGTTAGATATTGTCTCTTGTGTAGAGCATATTGATCCCTTTCCATTTTAGCTTGTTGCTTGCTCTGTATTGTTTTATCTTTCCTGATAGGACCATGGTAGTTTTTTATTATTAAACTGAAACTGAATCTTCAGTTTGTAATTTTTTATCATTTGCTTAATGGGATCTACCATCATGGGTAGTTTGTGTTTATATTTGTGCAGATATTTTTTGATCCTGCCAAGGTAGATCTTTTTTCATTGTAATAAAATATATTTGCATAGAAGCTACATGTGTATGTTTTGTTTGTGTTGCTGGTTCACTCTGTAACCTTTGGTCCCAAGATTTTCTAACTTGTACTCTTATTTTACAGGCTTGTCCCAAACTGATTGATAGATGCAAAGAGAGAGAAGAAAATGTCAAGGTAGACCAACATGAGTATTTTACTTCAGTCTTTTATAACACCATATGGTTGCTTATCCAACGTGGTTATGTTGCAGATGGATGTATTTAATACTTTCATTGAACTCTTGCGTCAAACTGGAAATGTCACAAAAGGGCAGGTTGATGTAAATGAAACGAGGCAAGTACCTATATGTTCTTATAGCATCCACTTATTGAATTGACTTTTGGATCAGTTTCTGTCACTGCTGCAACTTTTGATTCAAAGAGCAGATGTCATGGATATTTTTTTCTTCAGAATTGCTTTACTGAAGAGTATAATGTTTGGACGTGAACTAACTGGTGAATATGCTAAATTTGCTATTTAGCCCCTTCTGTTTTTAACCTTGTCTACTTCCATACGCATTGTTGTTGAGTGGTGAGCGGATATTCAAAACAGAAATGTATGAACAGACAATAATCTATGGCATATTGTAAATGTAAATTGAAAAGGAGACATTAACTGGAAGACCCTTGAGAGTTGGTGAAAATGGCATATGCTATTTTGAGGTACTTCTGTTAAGCATGATGTAATCTACATTACTGATGCCTCCTCTATGGCAATGAGAAAAGTACAAATGTATGCCCTTAGTTTGGATCTGTGAACATCTTTCTTCAGCGCGTGTGCGCGCGTCCTAAGCTAGTCTAAGCCAATGAAATTTCTCGAGCTTCGTCCACTTTTTTCTTTCTCATGATAAATTCCGCCTCATTTTTTCTCTTAATCCTGTGTAATTTGTTGGGGTATTGGGAACATACACTCAAATAAAATCGGGAAGAGAATTTCCTTTGCTACACTTTCTGAACCATTTTTAGCCATATCTGTCTCTGGCTGCGCGTATTGTCATTTAAAAAAAAAAAAACTTTCTACCTCTTGCTTTTCTTTTTTTGGGTCCCCCCCCCCCAAAGAAAAACCTGCCTGAATTTTTCATGAATCTTCTGTAAAGTTGCACAGGAAGTCAGGCAGATGTTTAGTTTACCTGCCGTTGTTAACTTGAAGAGCACCACTGTTGGTCGTGTGTCTTCATTTTTATCTATCGCTGATCAAATTGTTACAATTGTACTCTAACTTGTGTCATTTATTTATTTATGCAGTCCTCGATGGCTGTTGAAACAAGAAGTCCCAAAGATTGTTAGGTCTCTAAATAGGCAGCTCCGTGAAAAATCTATCAAGACAAAGGTAGGACCCCCCCCCCCCCCATATCCAGAAGTTGATCCATTAACTTACCAGAAGGTTAACAATTCTCTCTGTACAGGTTGGTGCCTTTTCTGTTTTGAAAGAACTTGTAGTTGTCTTGCCTGACTGTCTTGCAGACCACATTGGATCACTCATTCCAGGAATTGAAAAAGCCTTAAATGTAATAATTATTGATTTTAGTTGAATTATGTTTTACTTGGTTTCATTTATCCTGCTGCTGATTTTGTGATCTTTTCACCAAAATTCCCTTCTTATTTTTCCCAGGACAAATCTTCTACCTCAAACTTGAAGATTGAAGCCCTAACATTTACAAGATTAGTGCTATCTTCACATTCTCCCGCTGTTTTCCATCCTTATATCAAGGTAAACAGCCATAACTTGTACTGCATGCTGCTCCCTTTAGTGAGTATTTGTTTGAAATTTAATATTGGCCCTTTGGAAAGAACTGTATTGTTATTGAGCTTTACGGCATGCAATAGCAATGCTGATGCTGAAGTGGAGGAGATCTTTCAGAAGTCTTTAATCTAATGGTGAAACCGACGTCACCACCCCCCCGGGGGCCCCATCTAGAGTTGATAAGAGGAACAAAGACAAAAAGGATATTTAGTGGGTTATATCTCACTGTTTTATGGATTTCAACGGTTGTCACTTTATTCACCTATCTGAATTGTGAAGTGGGGGAATTAATGTGTGTGTGAGAAATCGTAAGAGTTATGATAGACTCTCTCAGGCTCTTTGCTGGTTAGAGCTTCAGGTTTAGCAGTTCTTTGCCACATTATATTAGTTCAATTCAACTTTTTGTGTTAAACTTTTTCATGCAACGAAGGGGAATTATTTGCATTTGTACAATCAGATGTGATATTATTCATTCTCCCTAGATGTTTCTTTTTGCAGGCTCTTTCTGCTCCTGTTATATCTGCTGTTGGTGAGCGATATTACAAGGTCACAGCAGAGGCTTTAAGGGTATGTGGGGAGCTTGTCCGTGTTGTGCGGCCACAAATTGAGGTGCGTACATTTATCCTCTTGGAGTTTGTATTGATGTTAGACTTGTTGCTAAAAATGTACAATGGCTACATGGTGTAGGGTTCTGGTTTTGATTTCAGACCATACGTTCATCCTATTTATAAAGCTATTATGTCACGGTTGATAAACCAAGATCAGGATCAGGTGAGTTAGGTGTGGAAGGTCTTGTATTATAATTTCTTTTAATTCTTTTAGCATATAATATATAACATTTTTCTGTCTCCAGGAAGTTAAGGAGTGTGCTATCTCTTGCATGGGTCTTGTTGTGTCAACATTTGGCGACCATCTTAATGCAGAATTACCTGCATGCCTTCCTGTGCTTGTTGATCGGATGGGAAATGAGATAACCCGACTTACGGCTGTCAAGGTTATTTAGTGGATTTTGGTGACTTGCAAATCTATGTGGGACTTATGATAGTAGTATGCTTTGTGCAGTGTATTACTTTATATAAATAGTGAACTTTTACAGTTTTACATATTCCTGTTGTCCTTCCCTATTTTGTAATCTATAATAGGCTAGATTTGTCTATGAATTAGCAGGATGGCATACATCATTTTCGCGGCATACATGTTAGCATGTGTTTGTATACGTTGACTTTGTGGTTATCTGAACAACACAGTTTTCTATGTAGGCATTTGCTGTCATTGCTGCTTCCCCACTAAGGGTGGATCTATCATGTGTACTGGATCAAGTTATAGCAGAGTTGACTGCTTTCCTCCGAAAGGTGCAGAAATCTTCTTGGATAATCTTTTAATTTTGTGATGTAACTGATTAAATTTCATGGTCTCTAGAATTTCCCGTTAAAATGGAGTGGATAATTCTTAGCTTTGCTCTCATGGTTTTGAACAGGCTAATCGTGCCCTAAGGCAGGCAACCTTGGGTACCTTGAATTCACTTATAGTTGCTTATGCTGATAAGATTGGTTCATCTGGTTATGAAGTTATTATTGTCGAACTTTCAGCTCTAATAAGGTTTTTCTCAGCAGCTTATTCTTTAGGTTGACTTTATTTTACTTCTGCATAGACCCTGCAGATTAATTGTCCTTGCTTGTTTTTGTCACTTTCCTATTAGTGACTCAGACTTGCATATGACGGCTCTTGCTTTGGAACTCTGCTGCACATTGATGGGTGACAGAAGGTCAAGTCCAAATGTTGGTTTGGCTGTCAGAAACAAAGTTCTTCCTCAAGCCCTAACATTAATTAAAAGCCCACTTTTGCAGGGCCAAGCTCTTCTGGTATGTGTTCTGCTATGTTGCTGAACTTGCCTCAATTGTTTTAGCTGTACACACTACATGCATGTTTAAAAATGTCTTGTAAATACTGCAGGCTTTGCAGAATTTTTTCGCTGCTTTAGTCTATTCTGCAAACACTAGTTTTGATTCTCTGTTAGAGTCGCTACTTGCCAGTGCCAAGCCTTCTCCACAGTCAGGTGGCATCGCAAAACAGGCATTACATTCTATTGCCCAGTGTGTGGCTGTTCTATGCCTTGCTGCTGGTGATCAGAAGTGCTCATCTACAGTGAGAATGCTTACTCAAATTCTGAAGGATGATGTTACTTCGAATTCAGTAAGTTTTTTCTCTCATCTTTAAGCAGTGCTGTAATTTCTTTTTTTTGACAGTCAATTTTCTTGATGCTTAACTATAGGTGCATACTTTCTGGGATTCAAAGTGATCTTCTAATTTAAGAATGTGGAATTGCGTTACCATTTTGCTGATTGTCCTTTTGAGCTTTCAATTTCTTTATTCTGCCTTTAGTAAATATCTTATGTTACTGCTAGGGGAGAACATCGGGCAGTTGCCAACCTGATTGACTGTAAAATTGGGTTGAAATGGGTTAGGGTGACTTTGCTGCAAAATATCTCTATCTTGGCATACCTAACTTCACTGGATTTTGAAATTGTAGATTTGATTATCCTGAATGAACCAAAAGACCAATGCCTCATGTGTGGATCAGCCTGCCTGAACTTAGTCTTGATAATTTGATCTTTAACTTTTTTTTTAATCATATTGAATTGGGTTGGTGAGTTATGCATGCTCCTAATCTCTACACCAGTTACCGTTTTGATTGTTCGACATCTTTATTGAACCAATTTTCTTTTTGTATGAAAGGCCAAGCAGCACCTTGCGCTTCTGTGTTTGGGGGAGATTGGTCGAAGGATCGATCTAAGCGCACATGAGAACATAGAAACTATTGTTATCGAGTCCTTCCAATCTCCTTTTGAAGAGATAAAGTCTGCTGCCTCTTATGCGCTTGGTAACATTGCTGTTGGTAATCTTCCCAAGTACTTGCCTTTTATCTTGAACCAGATTGATAATCAGCAGAAGAAGCAATACCTGTTACTTCACTCTTTGAAGGAGGTGCGTTGCCTTGAATGAACTCTAATTTAATATGGGTTTTTTCTGTTTTGTTTTTAACTCATGAATGTTATTTTCCTGTCACAACCTGGCAGGTTATTGTGAGGCAATCTGTCGATAAAGCCGAGTTTCAAGAGTCCAGTGTTGAGAAGATACTGAATTTACTCTTCAACCACTGTGAAAGTGAGGAAGAGGGAGTTCGCAACGTAGTGGCAGAGTGCCTTGGTAAAATCGCGCTTATTGAACCAGCAAAACTTGTTCCTGCACTCAAGGTATCTGATTTTGTATGGGAAGCTTGTGCTTGTGATTTTGAGTTGTTTTTCATATTTGATATTTAACGTTCTCTCTGCATTCTGAATTTTCTATAGGTTAGAACAGCCAGTCCAACAGCATTTACTCGAGCCACTGTTGTCATTGCTGTGAAGTACTCTATTGTTGAACGTCCTGAGAAGATAGATGAAATCATATACCCTGAAATATCATCATTTCTGATGCTTATTACAGACGATGACAGGGTGAGTTAGGTTTTTAATCACTTTAGTCGTAAAAGAAATGCTATGACAATCTTTGTTTTTAGATGTATATGTGGCTGAGCAGTAGGTGCTTTTTGGTTTGAACCTATTGGGAACTGATTTTATGAGTATGCAGCATGTAAGGCGAGCTGCCGTCTTGGCTTTGAACACATTTGCTCACAACAAGCCAAACCTAATCAAGGGGCTTCTTCCTGATCTTTTGCCTCTTCTTTATGATCAGACGATTGTGAAGGTAACTTCTGACTCGTGCGAGCAGTGTATTAGATGAAAATCTGTTGTGTAGTTTATTATCACATCACATAGAAACTTGACTCTCTTTTTATGGAAAGCAGTTATGATTTGTGTTGCCTATGGCATCTTCACAATTTTCATAAAACTGTAAATAATCTGACTTTTGTTGTTTATTTCTGACAGCAAGAACTAATAAGGACTGTTGATCTTGGTCCTTTTAAACATACTGTGGATGATGGACTTGAATTGAGGAAGGCTGCTTTTGAATGTGTAGACACTTTGCTGGATAGTTGTCTCGATCAAGTCAACCCCTCATCATTTATTGTTCCTTATCTTAAATCTGGTTTGGATGGTGAGCATTTGTTTCAAGTTGTTTATTTCCTGGCTCTGTATCCTGCTAGTGCCCTCTTTTGCTTCTGATGCTGATCTATTTTTCATTTGACTTGTGGATATATTCCTTTTATAACTTTTCATTATGGTGAGCTAATAGAGACTTAAAATTGATATGATGCATGTCATCCATTTTTTCAAACACTAATTATGATGTCGGTATTAAGTTGTGTTGTATCATTATTAATATACCTTCATATATAACATGCTTTGTGAGGTTCCTTTTAGCCCATCTGTATGTTAAAATGTTCCCCTTGTTATTGAATTTTACTTCTTTTTTTTTTTTAATGAAGTTGATTGATTGACGTGTCTTCGATGATGTACTGTTAACTGCGGGGGTACAATTGTGTTTTTTCAGATCATTATGATGTTAAAATGCCTTGCCACCTCATACTCTCGAAACTGGCTGATAAGTGTCCTTCAGCAGTATTAGCAGGTTCGTGGTGTCTTTGAATATGCTAAAATTTGGCTGCGTAATGTTTCTGTTATCTGACTCGGGTTCCTATCTCAGTTTTAGACTCATTGGTGGAGCCTCTCCAGAAGACTATCAATTTCAAGCCAAAGCAAGATGCTGTCAAGCAAGAAGTAGATCGTAATGAAGATATGATTCGAAGTGCACTTCGAGCTATTGTAGCCTTGAACCGCATAAGGTTTGTATTTTCTTCTGTTCTAGAAATAAGCTTTTCTGCACAAATTACGTCTGCTGGATAATACAACGGCTAGGAAAGTTGCGTAATTGATAGACTGTTCTGTTCTTTCTGAAAATTATTCTATCAGAAATTGTTGCTCGGCAGCAAAATCTAGGAGGATCATGATTAAATATCAATGAATCGCATTATTTCACAATACTTTCTAAACATGTGAAACCTAAAATCTCTTTATTTTGGCATGGCATCGCTGAGCGATTATCCAGTCCTCAATTGACAATTTATACTTCATACAACTGGGAAACAAGTCTTGCTTTCACAAACTCGCAATTTTAATAATACGCACCAAAATTTTGTCCTGGCTCTCCCTCAATTTACAAATCTTTGGATCTTGGACTGAAAGTTTATTCTGGACTTGGGAGAGTCTCTAGCCTTTTGAAAGCTAGGATTAGGGAACATTTTTTCCTTCTAGTTCTCTTCTGCTCTTTTCTCTTTTGCCCTTGTAATTTACTCTTAGGGATCATTATATCTTTGTCAAACTGTTTTTGTAGTGGAGGAGATTGCAGTGTTAAGTTCAAGAACCTTATGAATGAAATATCAAAATCACCAACTCTCTTGGAGAAGTATTACTCAATCCGCAATGAGTGATAGATAGGCGGCTGGAATTTTCTGTGATGTTCAAGAAAGAGTGAAAGATGGACTGCCAGATCATCTCCATATCTGCAGTAGCCTATTCATATATGGGAAAAGTGACATATAATTGATTTTAAAATCCATTGATGCATGTCTTGAGTGTTAAAAACTAGGGACTTTGTACCCTAAGAGGATCCAATTGATGGGATCTACCATGGGATTACAACTGGTGCTTGCTTGTATAGGATGAAAGAGAGATTTTGCCTTTTTGTTGTATGCATTTTATAATTTAGATAAATTTCTTTTGATGATTAATTCTCTCATCAAACCAGGCTGCTGAAAAACAAGCACAAAAAAAAAAAAAAAAAAAAAGAAGAAATTATGGAATTATTGGAATATTTTTTCTTTCGGGTTTGTTTTTTGTTTATAGACGACTTGGACATACTTGCACGGTTCAGCCCATGTGGCATCCAAAATTAGCTTATTTTTTTAATTTTTAAAGTTTATATTATTAATGACGCTCGATGGAAATCTCTTCCCTCCACAAGGTCCAGCTTTTATAAATTACTTTGCTTTTGGGGTATATTACGACGATTAGTTTATCTTATGATGCTAGTTCATGTGGTAAGTGGGTGGAATTTGGGTAGATTTAAATTACTGAAAATCAGACTTAAAATCGGTCGAAGCAATATCAATGATTCAATTGCCAATGGAGCCATGATCAAAATCAATTATGATTAAAATTGTAATTAAAATTATACTTGTTTTAATGTGAGACTTAATTATTGAGTTGATTTTAGTTTTAAATGCAAGACTTATTTATCATACGTATATCAATTTTTTTAATTATGATACCTTTTCAATCATAATTAAATATATAATTAAGTTGAAGGGAGATGTTAAGGAAGATAATTATGTTGTTTTATAAAAAATATCATATTGCACATAATTAACTAATTTAATTTTGTCAATATAATAAAATTAGCTAAATTGGTGGGGAGTACGATTTAACTTAAATATTCAAAGGATGGCAAAACAAAATTGCAACATTTAAAGGTATTTATGCATATAGCTCTGAAAAGAGTAATATATAAATAAAAACGTATTAATGTGCAAGTAAATGTATGAAGCACGAATCCCATGAACGTATGTTTGGCTTGGCAGATCTAAAGTTTAATCCTTCCTTGTATACGGAAGCTTTTACCTTGTAAAATGATATGGATACGACCCAATATTAACCTGTAAAATAGGATAATTTTTAAAATTTACTGAAAGGGAAAAATGGGTATTAAATATTTTTGTGGAATATATGCTTAAATAATGTAATTTCCTGGGTCTTTGATATGTAAGTCATTTTCAGTTGGCCCTCACACTAAGTCGATTAGATTATTAAATTTGTCAAGAAGAGTTTTTAATATTTAACATCATCAGTGGCATTAAGGATGTAATTGAAAGAAAATAATCATGCAATAAGGTGCCGTGCAACAGAGAATTCGAAAACAATATGGTGTGTGGATTTAGTTTTTCTCAAAGTTCATTATTGTTGTTATCATTTCAAAATTTTTATTTGTATGAAATATTTATAAAAAGACCCTTTAAGATTTTTTTTTGTCATCTTTTTTTGGCTACACATAGGTATCTTTCTATTAAAAATAATTCTATTTGAAGTAATGTTAGGTATCAATGTGGACACCTTCCTAGTAAAGATTCGGATATTGGTTCACCACGTTGTTAGGGATTAACTCCTTTGCTTACAATAAATTTTACTTTTAACATTTTAAACTTTGAAAAAAATTTGCTAAACTATCAGTTTATGTTGAATTATGTGTGTGTATAGTTTATTACATTATGGTTAGTTCAATTTGTTGTTATTATTTTTCTACTTAATTTATTTTTTTTACCAATATGTCTGATTTCCTTCATCTTTTATTTTACAAGATTTTCAGACCTCTTGATTTCACCCCAAAAAAAAATTTAGGGAAAATTGCAATAAAAAACCCTTAAAATAGCAAAATAACAAAATGCACACTTAAATAGAGGAAATTATTTGGAGAGATTAGGTCTTAAATTGTAATTATCAAATCAATCCTAATGGACCAAAAAACCTTTTTTCCTTTTCCTCTTTCCTCCTCCTCTCCCTCTCTTCTTCCCTCTCTTTCCTCTTTTCTCTTCCTTCTCTCTCTAGCGAACCTATTAAGCCACCATCAATACAATCCATAAGATTACTTAGTTGCTTGCTCCAAAATCATAACTTTCTTTGTGTTTTCCAACCCACTGATTTGTAATGGTGACAATGAAAACATGTTAACTGTGGAGTTTCCATATTTAATTTCCTGCAAAACGTATAATGCCGATATATTATTCTTGATATAAAGGTTCTCCTCATCCACAATCTCTCCTTATTCCACAATCTCATTCTGATATCATATATCCATGACGTATGGAATAAAATCTCTACTCATGCTTGAAAGACCAACTTCCGGCTTATCACAACTCAAATAAAAAACTACTATTGTATATAGCAAAAACAAAGTAACTATGCATGGTGAAAAAGCAATTGAATATCTAAGTATTAGAACCACTGCTAATATAGATATAAGCTAGTAGAATTACATCAGTTAAATCACTACTAATGACAAGTCTAGTATAGAAAATAATAAGTGTAGTATGAAAAATAATAAGGATTGAAAAGCTATTCATATCAACTTAAGTTTTAGCAGAAACTAGTATTATTTTCACAATTTATTTGTGAATAACAAATCTAGTATGAAAAATAACAAATATTGAAAAGCTACTCATATTAATTTAAGTTTTAGCAGAAATTGACATTATTTAATCACAATTTATTTACAGAAATTGACATTATTTTCACAATTTATTTACAAATGATAAGTTAACATGGAAAATAACAAGTGTTGAAAAGCTATTTATAATAACATGAGTTTTAGCGGAAAGTGGCAACATTTCTACAATTTATTTGTGAGTGACAAGTTTAATATGAAAAATAACAAGTATTGAAAAACTATTTACATTAACTTAAATTTTGACAGAAATTTGCATTATTTTCACGATTTATTAGGAATGACAAGTTTAGTATAGGAAATGACATGTCTAGTATGAGAAATAAGAAATATGTCACGGGTTTAACATGAAATTATGTTTTATGAGAAATTATTATTATTTCCACATTACATAGCCAAATGACAAGTGTGTTAAGCAAAATAATAAGTGTGTCATTAGGTTTCTCATAAAATTAAGTTTCATGATAAGTTGCCATTATTTCCACATTTCATAGCCAAATGATAAGAATGATAAGCCAATCACAAGTGTGGTAAGCAAGTGACAAACTTGTGAATGGGTTTTTGATGAATTAAGTTTTATGAAAAGTCGCTATTATTTTCACATTTCATAATGTAATGACAAGAGTGGTAAATCAAATAACAAGTGCAATAAGCAAAATCACAAGACTGTGATCGGGTTTTTTATTAACTTTAGAACATTAAATATATACATTGTTACTATTTAGAATTCATAAATACAAAATATTAACACTGTTATGCCATAAACAAAATATCAGTATTTTCATATCGTCATGTCCTATTGTGCTATCATAGTAATAATTATGTAGTTACAATAGTACTAAGGAAAATTATGACAATGGTAAACCAAATAACAATAAACCAGAGGTGTTCTGACGGCAACTAGTTTTTGTAACATTCAATGATAAGTATACATTAACATGGTCTATCTACTTAATGTTTTTTTTTTCCATTAGTATTTCTACATCGTCATATAAACATAGTACCCAAACAATATCTATCTATTAATAGTCAGTAACCTGCAAACTATAATCTTAAAAAGAGAAGGAATTTAATTTGCTCAAAGAGCTTCGTCTTCAACTTGCAAAACCCAAACAACGTCTTCCAACTCTAACACCGGCTAGAAACAAGTATAGAATAGAGTGAGACTCTAAGAGAACATACCTCTTGTAACCCCAAACACAAGAAACTGAATGGATGATCAATGTAGGGCTTTAAGAGAACCTATCTCTTACAATAGCCATGAAAACACCACAATATTGATTAATCCCTTAATAGTTTCGAGTATGCTTACAAAAGTACAAGGACACAAGCAAGGCTCACACAAGAGAAATAAAATCCTCCATATTATTAATCATTCAAATCATATCTGTCTGGAAAGAGTACATATTGAATTATTTATAATTTAAGACTCTTGAAAACCCTAAGTGATAATATAAACCCTAATAGCCCTGTTATAAGCTATTAGAGCCTAAAATACTAACTAAATAAAATGTATCAAAAATAGATATGAAAATACAATAAAAATAGAAAAATTAAGAGACCTTCTAGAATACCCTAACTTACTAGTCAAAATAGAATAATCTAAATTACTCACTACCTAAGAGGATCACATCAATAATGAGAATGATCTTATTTTACTCTCTACTAATTAATAAACTATAAAATAGATAAGTATTTTCCTTCGAGAAGAAATTCATACAAAATAGGAAAGTGTAAATTAAGAAACTAATTAAAAAAAATAGAACCGTAACTAATGCCATATAAGACCACTCTTGATGCTTCTTGGACCTTCCAAATGAATCTTCAAAAATGCTATTCACATTCATAAGCATGTATGGGCTCTTTAGACATCCATTTGGGTTTGAATATGGTTGGATCACGTTTTGAAACTCCTAAGGTCTATAACGCAATGTATTTGGGCCCTAGTTTAAAATATTATAGTTCCAATAGACTCCTCCATATACATATAATTGTGTGGGGCCTTTAATAACATAGGACTTGACTTCAAATGCTCTTTTTGAACTCTTAGAACATGCTTTTATTTTTCTTAAGATTTAAGTGTTCATACTCCAATGACTCACATGCTATGATGGCTTCGGGGATGGCTTTTCATATGTCATGTCAAGCTTCGCATATGTCTATGTTATCCTCCACGCAATGATCCATGTCATCTTCTGTGTAAGTATTATTGATCTAGAGATTCATTAAACACTTTGGACAGCTTATTAGATTTTAGGACCTCTATATGAAATACCTCCTGGTATACTATCACAAACTTTTGGTGAGACCCATATAGGTAGCTATGGCATAGTCGGAGAGGGATTTGAAACAGAGGAAAGGGAATGTGGTGGTGCTACAGGAGGATTTGATGAAGTTTAAACTGGAGGAGGCAGCAATGGAGAGGGAGGTGGCCATAGCGAGGAGAGATAGAAGAGAATTTAGAGAGGATTTGGTCATTGTGATGAAAAGTGATGAGAAAATGAAAGACAGTGCGAAGAAGATGAGAGAAGGAAGATTTAGTTTTATAGAGATGGGGATAAGGATGAGGAAGGGGACTTCAAGGAGAAGGAGAAGGAAGTGGAAGAGGAAGAAGAGGAGTAGAAAAGAGAATGAGGAGGAGAGGGAGAGAAAGAGAAGGAGGAAGAAGAAGAAAGAAAGAGCATTTTAGTCTTTTAACTAACATTTCATAATTCATGCTAAAGAACTAGTCTCTGGCAACAATTTGGTAATTCGAGAACTCGTATTACAATTTTATAATTTTTAGAGTCTTTACTTGTGATTTTATAAAAAATTTATGCTTAATATTATAAGGATAACGAATAAGCTTCGAATAAGAATAACAACTTAATTTTACCATAAAAAATCTTCCTAAAATTCATAACTCCTTTAAAGCCACGGAGTACCAGATTCATAATTTATTAAGAGGGGACCTTTACAAATTGACAACTTCTTTCTTAAAAAGGTTAAGCTGCATTCAGTATCTCGAAATACTTTTTCAGGTATATTCACTATTTAGCACCTTAAAGTATTTTGTGATTTATTCAGCATTTCGAAGTATTTTTTAAGTGTGTCCAGTACCATGAAGTATTTTTTTGCCTTGATGCTAGATGCGCCAAGAAACTATTTTTGGGTGTTGGACGTACCTAAAAAAAATATTTTGAGATGCTAGATATAACAAAAAATATTTTATGGTGCTGGATGCAATCTAAAAAATATTTTGGGGTATTGGATGCACCTTAACGCTTCTTCAAAATGATAAGTAAACTTCATAAATTAACAACAAAGCTTTGGTTGTTATTCATAGCGAAAATGACAAAAAAAGAGGGTTCAAAAATGTGATTTTAACAATTTAGGAACCTGATGGTTGAAAATGACAGAGAGGCCAATTAAAAATTTGAAATTTTAAAAAAATAATAAAAATGCCTCTTTTTTTTCTTGAAAGGTTCAAATTCAATTCCTCGCCGAAGACTGCGTTGGCGATGGCCACCAGCATGGTAGCTGTAGACAGTCTTATTTCAAATGATAGAGAGAGAAGCCAAAATGACTTCTAGCGATTTGGTTTGTGCACTATGCATGCAACCAAATAGTCAGAGGTTCGACTTGGCAGAGAAGAAGAAATGATAGGGAGAGAAGTAAACCCAAATTAAAATTTTAAAATTTTAAGAAAATAACAAAAATACCACCTTCTTTTTTTAAAATGTTTAGCCCCTTGTCGGAGATCATGTTGGTGATGGCTATCAGTGCAGTGGCTGCTGGCAAGGTTTTTTTTTTTGTGGTAGTTTTTTTACCATGGGAAATTATTTGAGGAAAGTGGTGGGTCATTTGGGCCACTAAAAAAATGACCATTAGGTCACTAATGATTTCTTAACATTATAATACCCAAAAAAAAAATACAAGTCAACTTCCTTACTCTGACTCCAGCTCGTGACAACAATTTATTTAAAAATGACAAGTTTTGATTGAAAAATAATAAGTCTAAACCTGAGATTAATAAGATATTTTTTTTCCCATACATAACACGAAATAACATGTGAATTAACTAAAAATATAATTATTTATTTATGAATGACAAGTCTTTATTGTAAAATGACAAGTTTAAACTTGAGATTAACAATATCATTTTTAATTTATTCACATATTATATCACATATTATGTATAAGGAAAAAAACTTTTTTTTATTTCACATTTTTAATATGTTATCTCACATATTAACAATATCAGTTTTAATTAATTCACATGTTTAGACTTGGGCACTTCTTTTTTGCATTATAATATTAAGAAATCATTGGTGGTGTAATGGTCATTTCCTTTGTTGGGTCAAATAACAATCCGGTGGTATCAAATCCCAACCTACCACTTTCCCCATATGATTTCCCATGACCCAAAAAAAAAAAAAAACTTCTGCTATGAAAAAAAGCATTGCCGACATCCACTATTGTAGTGGTGGCCAACTAGTCCCCAGTGAAGAGTTGAACTTTTAAAAAATAATAATAATAACAAAGAGACATTTTTGTTATTTTTCTTGAATTTTAAGATTTCAATTTGAGTTTACTTCCTTAAAATCACAATTTTAGCCTCTTCTTTTTTTGTCATTTTTCTTTATTTATATAAAATTTTCATATAGAATATAAGCAAATACTAACCTATGAATATTTTTTTTTGTAGTAACATAATTAGGAATTTATAGAAATTTCATCTCCATATTTGATTTGATTTTTTTTCCCCTAAGCTCATGTATTCTTTTATTAGAAGTAATCATGCTCAACTCATTGTCAATTATTAAGTGTGGATACCTCACATATTAAGAATTCAAATCTCAGTTTATTACGTTGTGGGAGACTTTTTTCTTTTTTGACAAGTGCCGTTGGTTTTTGATTTGATATTTTGATTGAAAAATCTAATAGAACATAACTCAGAACTACACCAAAATCTGTGCAGAGATACAAGGCTTGAAAAGCAATTCTTGTTCTTCTCATGACAAATTTGCTACAGTTGTTCTACCTGGACAGAAAATCCACATTGGCATCGCTTAGTAAGCAAGGAGCTTTCCTCATCAAAGCTCTCGCACTCTTTCAGAAACACATGCTCATGCTCACTTGCTTCTGTCTTGGATGGAACTTCAACCGCACAAGCAGTATGACATTCAGGACTGTTCTCCTCATAATTGCCACTAACCATGGCTTTCATTTCTTTATTGTCTCTGGCTTGGCGGTTATCAGTTGATGTCTCTGATGGAAACCTGCTATTATAGCGATTATTTAACCGCTGACGAGTCACAATTGAAGAAAGAAGCTGGTACCATCGAGAAAGAGCTCTCGTTTCATCCCTTTTCTTCTCTTCAGCCCGTCTTCTTTCCTCCTCCTCAGCATGTGCCTAGACAAGTGAGCAATGGCAATCAGACTACAATAAGGGCTGTGTCAAAGGACAGCTTTAATTCTATTGGAGGCAAGTTTAGTCATTTTCAGAATCAACTCTGAAGAAGGGTCAAAGGGTTTCCCAAGCATGGAGAAAAATATAAATTAGCCGGCCTCCTCGAGCGCAACAATCATACACACAAAGCAGAGGGCTTTTATCAATGAAGAGACGATGATTCACATGAGATGCTAACCAATTCAAAATTTGTCCTTCATTTCACCCTCAACAGTTCCCCCCCCCCCCCAAAAACAAAAAAAAAATCTCTCCCCTCTCTTATCTTCTTTAAGGAAATAAAATAAAAGCAGAAGAATAAGTACCTCTAGAAGGACATCCTTGAATTCAGCACATACCACAATACCATCAAAGACAGGATGCGAACGACCATTTTTAAATTCAAAACCAACCATGGCAGGCGCATAATCAATCTCTAGCTTCTTTGCAACAGCAAATGCCTTTGGAAACCTCAAGTGCACAGTCCCTGGAGGAAGGCATTTCTCGGACCAAACTTCAACCTGACCACGCTCATTCTAGATAGAAAAATAGTAAATACAGAAATCAGTGGAAGGTAATTGTATAAATAGCAGATGTTTCAACGAGGATACGTCCGCAGAAAGACCATCTTTCAAACACATGCTTTTTCCCCAAATTACATTAAGCAGCACTCATAGTAAGTAGCAGAAATGACCTTAGGAACTATCCCATTTACGGCGTGAGGCAGATTAAGAGGTTCCAGTTGCCACTTCCCATAGAGTTCAATATTTTCCTTAGAATCACTGCAATCATAGTAATCCGCTTCAGAATCTTGTACTTTGTCAAGTCTTACAGAAGATTTAAGGACCTGCATGGAAAGTTGAAAAGTTATTAAAATTTATTTGAAAATTAAAGGGAATAAAAATATTATATGAAGGAAACTTTGTTGAGCCCTATAGGTCGTACCAGACCTTTGCAGGATGTTCGCTGGCTTTAACTTGCAGCCCTTCCCGAAGCCACCTCCCTTTTGTCTTAATCGTCTGCACACAAGTCCTTGGGTAAACTGGGAGGCCTGAACAAAAGCCAAGAATTGGGCCCTTTGGATGAAGAACCTGATACTTCGTAAGCCATTTCTCTATTGCATAAAGTGGGTGACTTCTGTAAGCCTGCACATGAAAGAAAGAATCTTATGTAGTAGTTCTTGTTATTTATCATCCTGCATATCTATCTTGTCGTTTAGGCAAACTTTTAACTACCTGCTGATTAGTAGGAAGAGGCTCAGTTAATGCCCTAGTCTGAAATTCAACATCCTCAAGGGAGCTTCGAGTAGGGACAAAAGAATTACTCTTGCTGGATTCTGCAGACATAGCTTGGTTTGTTTCCAAATGAACCCCTCCTCCAGTGGCCTCAGATTCTAACTCTCTCAGTGGAGCCAAAACTGAATCCCACCACACTGAACTAACTCGTTGTGATGCAATCTTGTGCCATTTCATACAGTACCTGATATGTCAATACCACTGTTATAATGTTAATGATTGCAGAGCCAATTTTATAATCACAATGAACTAATTTAATGGAGAGAATGCAAGACCTGCGGGTCACATCTTTGGCTCCCTGCCCCGCAAAAGCAAGAACATATCTCAAAGATGTTTTACATGCAGCAACCATGGATTCAACTTTGTGTTCTCCATCAACAATCAAATTGACAGCATCGATATGAACCCACTTTCCTGTCAAATTCTCTCCATTGCAATATACTTCTGCCCAATACAGAGGAGATTCAAATTTCATTGGCCCAACTGCTGTAGAGATTTCCTTGGGGAAAGCTAAAGATTCATCACTTATAATCCTTTTGACTCTTTTTGATGCACTGTTAAAATTTTCTGAATTAGTATTCAAGATTCTTGAACATGACTCCTTTTTGTTCTCCTCATCCCTAATTGCTGTAGCTGAAAGAGCCATTTCCAACTGCATTTCAAACTCAAGATCTCCTTTCCTCTTCGATTTACCAGTCTTGTTGGAGAGACATTCGGAGTGATTATGTTCTGTCTCAGGATCTTGTGAGTTTGACAAATTACAATTCAACTCATCAGCAAAAGCGGGATTCCTGGATTCTATCACATGGCTTGTAGAGTGGCGTTCCTTCCTTTCATATGATTGCCCAAGAGAAATTTCACTGGAATTTTCCCTCACATAGCAAGCAAACAAATTTTTAGGGGGCCTACAGTCCTCTTCAGGCCTGGATACCATCACTGTTGAAGCATTAAATATCCCCTTGCTAGATCCACTTGCATCAGATCTAACGGATTGACCTGGTTTAAGAGAGGCAACATCCAAAATGGAGACAAACCTGAAATATTGCTTCAGAAGAAAATTGTCATGTAAATATAAAAGGTAGGAGGAGTTAGTTAGTTAGTTAGTTATGATAGTTATGATTAAGATGTAAGTGACTTGACCCTTGGGCTTTAGACTAGCATAAATAAAGCGAGAATTCAGAATCAGGGTAAGAAGAGGGAAGGAGAGGGGAGAGAGAGAGATAGAAGGTTCAATCAGTAGATCTTGAAAACAAATTCAACATTCGTTAAACATAATCAAAGTACCCTTTCACACAAAACATTTTTAACATGTTCATTTTGACCATCCATTCCACAAAATCAATGTCCAGAACTTCATTAAGATGGATAACCACAGGGTCACATCTTCTTTCCATATTAGTTGAAAACAAGGTTAACATAATAACTGTTCTATTGTTACTTATTATTTAGGCTCATCTCTTACAGGCAACTTTATACATGCACAAGGATATATATTTCATTTCCCTTTCGTAAAAAGTAATAAGAATGAGATCCTAAAGGTGCTTACGGACATAAAAGTTCTTGATGTAAATAAGTTAAACTCGTCTGAGAGATTACTCCCACAATAGGAAATGAACACATTAACATGATACCATGAATTATCACATCTATGAAGCATGCTTAACATTGCACTAAAGAATTCCATATAGAGATTTTATTATCAAACCTCAAAGGGGAGCCAGTATCCTCAACTTTTGTTACATTCAAAAGGGTCTTAAACTCATCTTTAAAATCAAGGCTAACAAGTTAAATACGTAACTGGTCTATTTGAAACAATATGATTTTTATTTTGGAAAAAAAAAAAAAGAGCCAGACAAATATAAACTTGATTTACATGGGATACCTTGTCGTAAGATTCAAAGCTCTAAATAGGGCCACTGATAATGCAGCAATCTGCATGAAAAAAGAGCCAATTGCAAAAGAGGGGGGGGGGAGGAGGAAAACCTGTTACTGCAGCTTCTCATAGAACAAAGCAATCAACTAAAAGCTTCATATAACACAAACCATTTTTGAGTGACATTATTTTAGTACTGGTTCAGGCTGATTATAAGCAGATTAACAGGTACATCGAATCCTTTCATACCAAGATTGAATTAATAATAAGAGATCCACATATTTCTGCCACTTGAAAAGTTTTAGATATATGCTAACATAAATGAGAACATAGTATAATGGATCAGCACTCGGATAATCTTGTTGAAATGAACGTAGCTATTCTGATTTTAAAAAAAAAAAAAAAAAGGGGGAAAAGAATGTAACTCTTACTGAAGCACAATCTTAAATCTACATTAATAATGTGATAAGAGCTCTACCTCCTCAAAACTACCCTCACGTGCTTCAAGAGCAGCTGCCAAAGCAGAACGAAATGACATTTCTGCACTTGTGAACTTTCTAACACGAAAATTATTATGAAACTGCAGTTCCAAACAAATAAAACAAAACAAGATATGAGTAGTGCAATGCCACGAGTCTGTCCAAGATGGTCCCCGAATGAAACAGAATAAAATTGTGTGCTACTTAATCAAACCATACCCATGCAACTAAAGGATGTAAAGCTTTTGAAGTGAGCTTGGTGACATTTGATAGCTGAAGCAAGTGTGCAGGAAGTAGAGAAAGCAATGAGGCCTGCCATGATAAAGAAATGCCACAAACTAACATTCGTTAGGCAAGTAAATAGAGCAAGACTGCCGTGTAACCTTGGTATTATTTCCAATAGTAGTGATTAGAAATTTAGTTACAAGCCTCCTCATTCAAACAGAAGGAACAAAATAGGGAAAATTACTAATCTCGTAGGTTAATGTAGAAGAAATAAACAAAGGAGAGAAATGGAAACGAAGGCTAATGACTCTGTTGTCGCCTCCTCTTAGCAAAAGATGCAACATCTCTGGTTTTGGTATGAACATGGATGGGCCCACTAGGCCCATCATACTCGATTCAATAAGGCATAAACTAATTGCAAGAGGATAGATTCATAAACGCCTAAAACATAAAATATTAGAATGCCAGCTCCAAAAGTTGGAAGTAAATTAAGATCAGGGACCATTGCTCCAAAATATTGAAGAGTAGCTCTCGTTCATACGAACAAAAGGAGCACTTTATGCAAATTCCTACATCAACAACTAATTTTGAAACAATAAAAATTAGATATAGTTATATCTAGTTGCTATTTGACAAACCAAGATTTTAATTGGACAAATATTTTCAAAGAACTAATTAAGCCCATTATCAGCAGCAGGCCACTTATAACAGATTAGGAAGGGTGTTAGGCCTATTCAGGGTCCTAAACCTCTAAGGCCTTGTGAATGAACGAAAAGAGGAAAGGAGAGCTATGACTTGGCGTTTATAATATCTTATTTTGAAAGCAACCAAGGCGTTTCATATTGTATACCTTTTTGCATATTGTTTTTTGGGTTAATATAATTTTTTATCCCTGAAGTTTAGGCCTATTTTGGTTTTGGTCATTCAAATTTCAAATATGTAGTTTTAGTCCCTAGAGTTTAGTCCATCTTAAAATGTTAGTTCTTGGAGGTGAAGCAATGTTAAAATCGACCGAAGTATCATAAAGGGAGTTAAAGTGATGAAATAACTCACCAAAAGGAACCTAGCTAAATCTTGTATGGATAACAGGAAGAAGAAAAAAAGAACAAGTTCTCAAAACACAATGTAGAAAACAATTCTATAAAGGGGGATGAGTTCCCAAAATACAAGGCAGTGAACAACTCCTCAAACAAACAACAGGGGAAAAAAAAGGGGGCTAAACAGCTGTGTTTTGAGAATCTGTTCTTTTTTTTCCTCTCTATTATCCATACAAGATCTAGGGAGGTGCTATCAAGTAAGTTTACATCACTACTTTAACGCCGTTTATACACCTCAGCAGATTTTAATACTGTTATATCTCCAAAGACTAACATTTTAAGATAAACTAGATTCTAGGGACTAAAACTACAGCTTTGAAATTTGAGGGACCAAAACCAAAATAGGTACAAATTTCAGGGACCAAAATTATATTAACCTTTTTTTTCAATAAAATACATATTGTTTTTAATATACTTTATTATACACACTCAAAAAATTACTTAAAATTCATAATTGACGTCATTTGAACATAATTGATGTCATCTGAATTTACATGGTTATATTTCCTTAATGCTCTTAATATTGTTACATATATAGACACAAATTATCATGTCTGGTCACTAACAAAGTTCAACAGTTATTGCAATCCATGGACAGAACTATACAGATTTTATATTTGTTAAATTTCAAGTTATAAGTAATAACAGAATAGTTAACCACACTTTCCTGAAAAGTTGATTATTGCATTGGCCTTTATGGATTAATTCATGCAATTATGTTTCATACAAGTTATCCACAAGTCCACAACCAATATATATGTGATTTAACAATTTCTTTGGGCCGATTAAACTGTAGATTTGAATTAGAGACAAGGTTTTTTACTTTATGTTTGTAATATTTGTCTGTTTGCAACTTTTTATATCCATATAGTTCTTTCCTTTATGTATTTAACTGGTGTATCATTTGATATCATATAAAAAAAAAAAAATGTTTCCTCTACAGCCAGAGATGAAAAAATTGTTGCTCAAGTTTCGTCACAATAGTTCAAAGCTATATTTATGTATCATCAGCTTAGGTAAAATTTAGTTGTCTATAAATCCAACATTATCATCTCATTTATCAATCAACAAAAAATTGTAATTATTTTAATTATCCATTAATGATGTTTCCCAATTTGATACAATAAATTTATGTAACATCAATCATTGTCCTTATTATATACATTTCTTCCATAAATCTTCGTTGTCTATTGGTCTGTATTTTATTTAATTTAATTTAATTTAATTTTAATTTAATTTTTATGGTTTTGGCTTTTCTATACAATATACTCAAAATAATTTTAATTATCTCAAGTGAAGCAATGCTATCCTGTGCATACTACGGGTGTCCATTCTAGATATTGACTATAACGTATTTTTATTCATAATGAGAGGCCAAGAACTAACCTGAATAAGAGGATCATCACAGATTCTGTCAATTAATCTTCCACGAGAAAGTAAACAAAGCAAATGAACCTTGTGCACAAGCTCAGCAAAGCCCTGAAGAATGCACAAAAGTAACTTCAGCAACTGGCCATAGTTAATTATAACATCAACACCAAGTATACAGCTGATTGTTGCTAGAAGATGATATTGAACCTTATCCTGGGCTGAAGCACGGCGAATTTGTTTCTGCGTAGATAAATCAGGGGTCACATTCAATTCAATAGTCATAGGATGATCATGTGCTGCAATTGAACCCTCTTCCCAATCTGAGTCATCCATTTCTTCCTTGTTGTTCAAGTGGCTTTTGTCTAAACTTACATCATCACATTTCTCTTTGAGAGAAGCATTTCTCATAACATTTCTACTACAATGTCCAGTCTCTAAAGTATTTGGTGGAAGAACTGGTTCCAAGGCTTGACATTCATTTCTTTCTGACTCAGACTGCGGCTATGAGAAAATCAGAACCTCATATTTCAATGAATTTACAACGAAGGTAAATTATACAGCTAACCAAAAAACATCGCACAGAACAAGCTGTAAATTAGCAACAAGACAATTTAGTGGAACTAACCACCCCAACTGAATGATTTAAATGAAGATCACTGTCATCTGTCTCTTTCACAGAAGATCCAACTTTATCGGCACAGCTTGTGAGTTTGCCCCCAGCCTCCCGGGATGTCTCAGCCAGCACTCCTGGAAATCAGCATAAACATTGGTTACACAAATACTATAATGTCACTGCCTCGTTATTCTTGGACGGCCAACTCAAACATGAAAAGATTAACATACTATTATCAGACCAATGTCACAGGGCAGCTGACATTGGCTTCCACCTTCCAAGTTATGTGGAGCTCTCGTTTCATTTTCCTTAATTTTAACAACGATTGAACAACAGCAACAACAATGTAAGTGAACTATACTTTAACATGTCACTAACATTGGATGTATAAATTCATTTATCTGGATGTAAATTACAGGTCTAAGACTATAGGCAGCTCTTTTAAGTTAGAAAAAACTTGAACATCGTATTTTTGCTTTAAATTCCCCAAGCAAATGCAGAAACTGATGTTAAGCCAATTACAGGTTATTATTCCAATGCCACAAATGTTCAGCAGGGGCAAATCCAAAAATTTAAAAAAAAAAAAATCTCATCTTGAGTTTGAGGCATCAAAACTCAAATATTCAACTTCAATTCAATCGGCCCAAGGCGTCAGAAATCATAACCGGACACATTCACTTAAAAAACAGAACCACAGAAGCATAATTAGTAAAGTGATAAACTTTCCACCGCTGACACATCAAGGTCAAACTAACAGCACCACCCTACACACTCCTGCCTCTTGCATTCTATGGATTTAAAGAGGATTTTCAGATGAAAGAGACATTTGTTGCAGAGAAGAAAGACGTAAAGTCCAAAAGAAGGAACTCCCTCTTTCAAAAGTTGATTAAATGTTTCAAATGGCATAATCCCTCCGCAATTTAATTGGAGCCATATCTGTTCACTTTCGATATTAGATAAAGCATGTTCAATTTTTCTCTTTCTCGCATTTCTGAGAAATACAGGAAAAAGAATAAAGAAGATAGAACATCAAGGTAACTACCTGACGCTAAGGCACGTCTGTTTCGCTTGGAACTGCCTCTGCTTCGCATTACTCCAGTCTTGCCTATCTCTCAGGATTCGAAGAGGCGGGAATGAAAAGTGAGACTGGTCGCGCCTAAAACTGTTGGTTCTTCCATAGGGAAAGGAAAGGCATTAAAAAGACGGAAAGAGCCCCAAGGGCACTTTTGCCACGTTCAGGGGTTTTTGGGTGCAACAGAATAAGAATAAAATTTGAAAAATGAAATTGGGTGGGATCTCATCTACTAGCTTCTCTCTTAATTACAAAACCTCATTTATAAACTATAAATAAAATCTTATAATTAAGACCGAATGTAGTATATTTTTACCTTTAATGCCAATCATTTCATTCAATTTCCTATTTAGTATATGTATGTACTACATTCGGTGGTTAAAAGAAGAGTTATATAATAAATTTGTCAACAATAAGAAAATTACTTAGATTAGTTATTTGTAATAAATAGATTTTTTTTCCAAAATGCCCTTATCAATCATGTGCATTAATATTATCCATTGATGAAAATTTTTTAATATGTATAATCACTGTAAGAATTACCTGGAAACAAAATGAATAAATATTATAGACAAAATATATTAAGATATTATATTTAAAACTAAATTAAATCTCTAATTAACTCTTATATTAAGGTCGAAGAGAATACAAGTTTACTTTTAATTTATTATTTTGCAAACTTCACTGCCTCTAGTGTTATATATAAGATATGAATAACCAAATTGCACAGATAGTTAGTTAAAATTAATTAAAAACAATAAATGTGTAAAAATATATATTTTTTAAATATGTCCTTATTTATGAATAGTCCTTATTTATGAATAGGATAAGTGAAGGAGAAAATGAGTGAAAAAAATATATAAAAGAAAATATGTGAAGAAAAAGAGATGCAAAAGAGGCTACCAAACAAGAGAGAATAAAATTTAATTTTTGATCAATATGTGATAATTAATACTCCCTTCGGTCCTATTTATAAGTTTCAAATTTGAAAAAAATTATAGTTCATTTTATAAGTTTCAATTTAAATTTGTCTTAACATTTAATACATTTTTTAATGTTGTCTTTAATTATTTATCTCTTATTATATTTCTCCACATATTTTCTTTTATCCTTTTTCACACTTATTATAATTGTATATTTTGAAACAAAACTATATTTCTAACCTCTTTATTATTTTTAACTGATTTTAACTAATTGTTTGTTATTTAGGAATTGGTTATTTAAAACTTATAATAAGAATCAGACCGAGTACAATGACATGCACTAAAATTAGGTTAAAAATGAGTTGGAAAAAAAAGGATAAAATTGAAAAGAAAAAAAATGAATTCGATTTTCATGTATAAAGTATAACTTATGAAAAAGATCAATTCTATCCCAAATATATAGGAAAGGGAGAAGTATGTCACTGGAACGTGTGTATATGCATATTAAATAAAGTTAAAAAAATAAACTTTAAGACAAAACTGACGAGGTTTTAGATTTTTTTTATTTCAGTAAAACATGTTAAAATTTAAAATTACTCCCTTTGATCCTTTTAATAAAGATCCCGAATCATGCGATTTAAGAAATCTTAAAATTTGTAAAAGATTATATATTTTTAAAATGTGCCCTTATTTATAGGAGGATAAGTAAGAGAGAGAAATAATATGGAAAAAAAAAAAAGATGAGAAAGAATGTACAGTAAAAAATAATTCAATTAATAAGGGGTAAAACTGATAAAAATACACTACCTCCGGTCTTTAATATAAGACCCGGTTTGATTTTATGTTGGTTCTAAATATAAAACTCCAATCCATTTTGTCTCTCATATTTACTTAATTTTTTTAAGATAATCATTCTAATAATTATAGTTTTAGCTAACACATTTGATTAGTAAAGATATTTTAGGAAAGACAACACCTATTTATTACAAATGACTAACTTGAATTCTTTTATTTATTTTTTCAAATTAGTGAACTGGTTCTTATAATTAGGACCGGAAGTAATATTTAATGCGCAGATAACCCAAATAGCATCTTATAAAAATGATTGGACTAATTCAAAACTTTAAATCTTTTGAAAAACAACAGAGAAACTATCTTATAAATTAAACCAATGAAATATAGAATTGAGAGCCCAAAAAAAAACACAACCAAATGGCAATGATCAAAAATATCGAATTGGACCAGACGGTCCTGCCGGTTGAACCACTGACCAAATTCGGTGACCATTCAATTTGGACTGAAAAACTATTTTCACGACATGTGTTGAGCTGTCATTGTGGGTCTTTGTTGTTTCCCTTGTAAATTTTTCAAAAAAAAACTTTGTACGAAATTTTAGCCCGGAAAAGTCACCAGCCACGTTGGCACCCTGTTGAAGAGAGAGGAGTAATTGAGCAAGAGAGGATGTTTTAAAACTTGCTCTGATCGTATTAAATATTGTTTCTTGCTCTGTTACTGTCATTTACCTTGTAAAATTTGCTGTCAATATAAAGCTCATGTCCTTCACTTTCGTGGAAAACTTAAAAGGAAAGAAGATAATTACCACTAAATCCTATTATCATTTATTATTCTAAAATTTATCACTACAAGCTGTTTATTGTCATTGAGATTTTTTAATAATTATAGTAAGATTTCATAGCAATTCACCCAAAAAATCAATCGATCTTTTCTTTCTCTCTCATGTCTTGACATCAATTTTCTCATAACTATGGCGTACGAGTCAATCGAAGATATTAAAAGGAGGAAGTTTACGAGCTTCGGAGATATATCGATAGTGGTAATAATTAGGCTTATTTAGCAACAAATAAAGGGTCCACAACCGAGTAGTACCTTTTTACATCAGAGAATATAAATACAAAAGAACAAAAAGAAAAAAGAAAAAACATACGTTCTTATCGTAGGGAATAGTCCGGAGATTCAATTTCTTAATTATCAGTGAAAGAATGATTGTTATGGCAATTTCTTAATTAAAAATAAATTATTCTTAATTATGAGTGATAAAATGACCGCACTAAGTGGTATATATAGTAAAGAATCTTATGCTAATATAAAGCTGTTCTCATGTATAATATGTTCTTTTCCATTCATACAAGAACTGAATATTATCTTCCTGAGCACAAATATAAAATTATGATCAATATTATCAGTCAGTGACACAGATTTACTAGAGGATCAGCATAAAACAGTCTCTTATACATATATACATATATACATATATATATATAGTATATTCATTATCCCTCGTCATAAGCGGAGCTCACAGGAAACACCACAGCCAGAGAACAACAGCACAACGATCATTGCACTGAATCACAAGAATAAAGGACGAACCTCTAACACAAGGTTCGGGACCTGCAATGAGGATCAAACTGATTCATTCATTGTCACCTTCAACCTCAAACTATTGATCTTCATTAGAAGACTTCAGGTCAGCACAAGTTCTTTGAATTTAGCGATGCACTCTAATGCTTTCTTGAACTCATTTTCTTCCAACGCGATGTTGAACCGACAGTAACCAGGAATTCCGGTCCAGGAGCCACTGTTTATGCATAAACCAGTGGCTTTGAGAATGGCAGTCCTAATATTTGAGTCATCAATCTTGATTTCAGTGGTGGCATTTCCATGGCTCTCATCACTTTCTGGTGAAATCTTGAGCTTCATGATCTTGTCGAGATAGGCCGAGGGCTTGGCCACGACAGAAACACCAGCTGAGGAATCAAGCACATCCCACTCACATTTCTCAAGAGCCTATGGCCAGTAAGAAAGAAATGAAGAATATATCAAAATCATGGCAAATACAGATAAGTTTGAAATTATAGATCATAGGCAGATTAAGATTCAAAATGATTTGGAAGTTAAAAAGCATGTGCTTTTGAAATGTTTGGTACACTGAATAGGAATGAATCCAAAAAATGAACTGAAATGTAACAAGAGTATAATAAAAATTGCATCTTATTTTTTGTATATTGGAAAGAAAATCTCTGCATAAATGCAACCAGCCGGGCCGCATGTCTTAAGAAGTATTATTTCTTAAGTGAACATCTGAATATATAATTAGTTTCATGATTCCTCTACAAAAACTTGGCTGAATAACCATACAACATTTTGTTGCCAGTTCAAATGTGCAAGAAGTTACACTGAGCGGTCATTCCAATAATGTAATTTGAAAGCCAAACGGGAGGTTCAAGCAACATAAGGAATATATTATTTTACTAGCTGCTTGCCCTTTCACAAAACAGAAATTATTTTAAAAATCTAATTTCAACAAAATGGCTTAACGTAAGTTCATGCTACTTCAATTAATGAAGCACCTGACATGGAACGTTTAGAAATTTTGCTGTAGTCATGCAATCGTGTTTATAATTTATCTTTGAGATTTAGGCCACAAAAACCAGCCGGGTAGAATTCAACAAATAAAGTTCTAAATAAAAATGAAAAATTACCTCTTTCAAGCATTTGTATCTACTTCTCAATTCCCTCGTGTGCTCAATAGTGACATCATATAGGTCTGCTGATTGCTGCTCCATGAGACCCAGCAACTTCTTTATGGCATATTTAACAGTACTATGGGGTCTGCTTAATCCTGGAAAGGTATAAAATGCGTCGACTAAAACTGGCTCGTTTAGAATCAGAAACCCAAATCTGAGGACACCATTGAGCATCTTCAGAGATAATCCTCCAAAAAGAGAAACACAAAATGATGGCTTGCATGAAGAACTTAGCTCTGACAAGCACTGATGCAAATTCCAGCCACCCCAGCCTTCATAGTCATATTCCAAACCCGAAAATGAAGTGTCAATTACAACTCTTGCCCCATATTTAGCACAAGTTCCTAAGACTTCTTGCACCTCACCGTTGCTATAAAGTGAACCAGTTGGGTTAACTGTTGGGCCAGAGATATAGACCCATGGATTTTTCACAGTCTCAAGGACTCCAGCAAGTGTCTTCCCTGTGAGCTTGAAACCTTCATTGACATTGGTGGGAATTGTCACTATGCTAGCTTGCAAAAACTTGGCAGCCGTAACATAGTTCCCATTTGATCCAGTTGGAAAACATAAGGTGCCACCTTCTTTGATGCAGCAAAGGACCAATTTATTAAAAAGAGCCGTT